GGCAGCTGTTTGGCCATACAAAGTGAAAAGAAATATCAGACTCATCTATTGATGAAATGGGTTGAGAACTTTTAAAGACACAGAGAGTGGTTTTCCTTGTCACAGTGGGAAATTATATGGATGCTAGTGGAAGATGATTCCAAGCTGTCAGTGCAAAGGACTCTCATGCTACCAAAGATGACTATGCCAAAGGAAGGAGAGAATGCTACTGGGATCTTTAACTGGACTACAGAGAGGAAACTGTTTTGAAACACACTAGAATGTAGGAAAGAAGTGGGTTGTTCTGGTGGCTGTTTGTTTAAATCTATTTTAAGAAATAAACTAAGCAAGTCTGATGGCCTACATTTAGGGAAGAATTCCAGTTGAACTCCTTACCTCCACAGAATGAAATTCCTGCAATGCTGATTGTAAGCAACATTGGAATGGAGATTTTTAAGTAACTCCACTTTGCTACATTGTCTCCTGTCCATACGGCACCTAGAAACACCAACAGCATGTTTTCAAGTTTATACACTGAATTCAGGCTCCCAGGTCAATTTATATTTGCAATTAAAGATAAAGGGAAAAGAAAGAGCCAAGCTAATAGATTCACTTAAAGTAATCTGCCTGATTTGTGTATGGCCTTGGACAGTTTTTAAACTCACTCACATTACTGAACAAATATACATCTAGTCTGCCATCATAGTGTAGACAGAGTATTTCTGTGTTTATTAGTGCTGAGGTACCAGGGAGGTTAGTCAATAAATCACAATTAACATGAGTAATTAATGCACAACAAATTAACAAGATTAAAAAACCAGTCGTGATCAATCACAGTTTTAACCACACTATTAAACAATAACAGAATACCAATTTAAATGTATTATGACTATTTTGGATTTTCTTCTACATTTTCAAATATATTGATTTCAATTACAACACAGAATACAAAATGTACAGTGCTCAATTAAGTCTTTTTATTACAAATATGAAGAAATAATATGTTTCAATTAATTTCCTACAAATGCCATAATGCAGTATCATTATAGTGTAAGTGCTACTAACATGTAGAATATTTTACATACCTGCATGCAAAACAATATAGGACTTTTTTATAACCTACAAGTCCACTCAGTCCTATATCTTGTTCAACTACTCACTAAGACAAACAAGTTTGTTTAGCTTTACAGGAGATAATGCTACCTTTGTCTTATTTACAGTATCACCTGAAAGTGAGACTAGGTGTTCATATGGCACTGTTGCAGACAGAGTTGCAAGGTATTTATGCCTCAAGTATGCCAAGTATTCATATATCCCCTTCATTCTTCAGCCACTCTATAGAAGACATGCTTCAATGTTGAATTTAAATTGGTATTCTTTTATTGTTTAACTGTGGGATTGAAATTAGATTAATTGCAATTATTTGTTAATCTTATGATTGTAATTATGTTTAATCATTTGACAGCCCTAGTACCAGGTCTAGTGTAAATAAATAATTAAATTCAAAAGCATTACAGAAAATCATCACTGTTTTATGATTTCATGAAGCTTGTTCATGCTTACCATATTTCTGTGATCCAGCAAAGAAAGAGCGCGTGAGGACAAATGGCCTCTTCTGTCCCTCAGAGCGTTTGATGAGTCCTTCTGCAGTTGCCATTTGCTAAAAGCAAGAGGATAACAAGGAGATAACCTAACTAGTGACTATATATTACACTCCCTTTTTGGCCAATTAAAGGCAGGAACCATGAGAAGTATGTCTAGAAAGAATAGTAATTATTAGTAGTAAAGTATCCACAGTTTGTTGGAAGACACTAGAACAAAGGGTAAAAAAAGAAATACTAACATTACATATGTAATGGATTGATGTCATTACACTGTTGCAGTAGAAAGACGGGCATGTTCTAGGTCTGATTTATCAGGAAGAAGCTGATTCCAACATACTGGCACCTGGAATAACCGGGCCTCAACGGGGTAACCACAATACAAATAACCATAATCATGAAGGACAGAATATTTATGGCAGTTGATTTTTCTCTTCAGGTATCCTACCTGGTAAAAACCATAGAGATTGTGAACCTCCCGGTGCTCCCAGTTGCCATGGTGAACAGCATCTCTCTGCATGGTTAGTTCTGCCCCTTTGAAGACTGAAGGCTCATTCATATCATTCCATACAAACAAGATGTCAGTAGAACCCTATGAAACAAAATAGCATTTAGGATACATTTAGGTCACTATGTTAATGCTGTAGTACCCAAACTGTAGTGAAGGGGGGTGCTAGTGTAGGAAATGCACAGGAAGAGAAGCAACAGAACAGTGGCACTGCAAATATGCTCCCAGGGCTACATGTAAAGCTAAGGGTGACTTCTTGAATGCTGCCTGACTTCCCACTCTTCTCTCCTGACAGCCCCTAACTCATCTGGTCACGGGAGCGGCTTAGGTGTGTACAGGGTTGCAGTCCACAAGCTTATTTAACCTTTTCAGCTCTCACAGCATTCCGCTGAAATCGCTCTGTGAGCCAAGTCTACATGTGCAACCAATAGATGCCCAAGTCTCACAGCAAGCAGAATAGTGCCTTCTCATGAGCGGCGGTGAGGAGGCGGCAAGGAAGCATAAAAATTCATATGAGAATTTAAAAATATTATAAAGCTCAGAGGAAAACTGCATACAAGGACAGGAAAAAGAGAATGGGGAGAAAAAGTTGTCTTAGGGCATGAAGTGAGGGGCCATAAGAGCGTGAATTACCAGCAAATCTGGGTTCCAAGACAAAAAAAAAAAATCATCAGAAGCTGGGGGCAGTGGTTCTGTGATACACACCTTCAATACTGAATACAGCCTAGAAGGGGCTGGGAGTGATGTGACTATAGGTTATGAACAGCTGGTAGTTTCATACTATTCTCCTTCACTTAAAAGGACTCATTGTGATGGAAGATGATGTGAGAGCAACTGTGAGTTCCTCTAAGGCAGTACTCTCACATTGTTTCTTCTGTGGACTCCTAATGAGGCAGCTGCAATAAATAACAGGGTGGTAAAATACCTTCTCTCTGTCCACACCAATGTCTCCACTATTACTATCACTGGGGGAATTGCATCAATGGTGAAATAGGCTCCTATTTTTCTTAGTGTCAAAAAGACCCCAGTGAGGCTCGTTCTGAAGTCTATATGTTTATCACTATATTCAGGAGATTTGCCTCTATGGCTAATGACCATCTACAAATTCAAAGTCCCACCAGATTACTTATCTAGTAGTTTATCTCCTCTGACTATCTCTTCCCCAATTCCAGGTTTTTGATGTACTTGGTAGGATCCAAAGAGAAGAAACACAAACCTTATATGACCTGAAGGCAAACTGATCTGCGTACCATTCTCGGACTTCAGGACTGGTAAAATCCAGGTAAGAAGAGGAACCTGCAGGTTCGGACCATCACATTCATTATGATAACTTTTACAGCATTGATTGCCTGGGCATCCAAGCATTGGGACATGTCGATACAATGATCTCCACAATGGGTAGCACTGAGACTTCTGCCATTGTAGTAACCTTAATATATAACCCAAAATGCCCCAAACAACAACCTAAGCAAAGTGCAACCAAGTGCTAAACTCAGCAAGTACATCTTACACTGTGTTTTGAAGACCACTCTGCTTGGGTTTTGTGGGCTAAGATCCACACCATTTAAACATGGTGACCAGCATTTTGAATGGCATCCAGAAGCCAACTGGAAGCCAGTGAAAGAACTGAAGCCTTGTGATGCTACAGGCTAGTGTCACTCAGGAGGTGGGTAGCTGTGTTCTGAAGTACACAGGTGGTCTGCAATGGTCATACTGAGTTCATTATATAAAACAAGTATAGAACCACCATGATTAAACATTGCACACGGACAGCTGATTTGCTGTCAGTTTATTCCCTGCTGGAAACCCAAAGATCCTTTCATATTTCCTTGCTTACAGAGTGTGTTAGTAGTGTAGTATTTACCAATGGCACTGTAGTAGCTTTGGAAGTGCAGCACTCCCAAGTATAGTCAGGAATGAAACAAAATGCATTTATATACAGGTTGGACCTTTCTAACCCTGACCAGTCCCAAACAAGGGAATTTGCCAGACTAGGGGAGATCCCCTGCCATTGGCCCTCGTCGCCTGCTGCTGGCTCCGCTTCCAGCTGGCCCCACTGTCTTCCAGCAAGCCACATCACCACCCCACTCACTGACATGGGGTTCCTGGCTGCACTGTAGGACCCCCTGCAGCGGGGCCCTCTGATTCAGGATCATCCATGGGCTGGGAGAGCCACAGTTTAGGGAGGTTCAACCAGCACCTATTTCAAAGCTTCACCCATATCATGATCCCTGGTTTATTTGTTGCTAGGTTCTCCAGCTTGAAACTAGAATTTTAAGACTGGTAACTCTTTTGAAAGGCATGTTTTCTGGAATTAGATAGATATTTTAAAATATAAAATTGGGGCCTGCTGATCTTAATGATATCCAAATCCTATTAACTCTTACCTTCCCTTTTCCCTCCCAAATTTGCCCTTCTCCATTAGATCTAATCCTTTTCCAATTTGCTGTTCCCACCTTCCCTTAAAAGGATCTACCTGGTGCTGTTTCATTTTGACAGCACCATGGTCACTGGCTTTCTCTTCCTGAATGGCCCTATACATTTCAAGTGGAAAGGATTCCTCTATCTACACAGTACACTAGGGCTGGGCAAAATATGGCCCAGGGACCGGATCCAGCCTGCCAAGCCACCAGATCTGGCTCACAGACCTCCCCACCCTCAGGCACACAGCCACACGGACTGTGCTTTAATAGCAGCGTCTATCTGCTCCGCAGGGAGCGGGGAGGCTTCATGTGATTTCCCCACCCCCAACCCAATCCTTAGCTCCTATTGGCTGGAAACAACTGGCCACTAGGAACTGGCTGCTTCCATCCCCCAGGCCCACCTCCCAGCCCCTTTTGGCTGGTTGTTCCCAGCCAATAGGAGCTGAGAGATTGGCCTGAGGGATGGGGGCAACGCAAGCCTCTTCCCCATTCTGGAGCTCAGAGCCATGTGGAGGGAGCAGCCTGCAGTTTCAAGCAGCCTGGGGCTACAGCAAGCATGGAGCCCAGCCTGCCTTGGGGGTGCTGCAGGACTGCTGGCCTCCCAGCCAGAGCCTGCCTCTGGCACTCCAGCCCCTCCTGCACCCCAACTACCTCCCCCAGGTGACTATCCAAACCCTCCCAGACCCAAAAGCTTTTATGAAACAACAACTCCCTCCCCCAGGTCACAATCCAAACCCTCTGTATCCTCTTGCCCAAGGTCACAACTCTCTCCCAGACTCTGTACACTCTACTACTCCCCTCCACCAGGCCAGGATCCTCTCCTGCACCCATCCTCCCTTCCCTCCCCTACACCCCAGTCTCCTGACCCAGGTCACAATCCTCTCCTTCACCCAAACTCACTCACAGACCTCACAGTGTCTCCTGCACCCCAGTCCCTTACCCCGTGCACCCTTCTGTACCCTATCTCCTCCACAGAAAAATGTAGCCCTTGACCACTTTCCAAAATCTTGGAGTGCTCCCCCCCACCAAAAATTATAACCCTGACCTACACAAATAAGAATTCAAGCGCTGGTCCATGAAGTCTGAAGTGTTTTCAAAAGGGTGTGTCATGTCCCAGTAGGGGGAAAGTGTTAGTGAAACCCTTGTTCAATGTTAAATTCAACAGTATAGTGAGGCTTTAGGTCTAGTTAGTACTTGTTTACTCCCACTGCAATAATGACCATTACAAATGTAAGAAAGAACGGCAATTTTATCTGATTAAAATTAACACATTTCAGTGACTTCAACTATGAATGATTCCTGCTATTCTACTATCTTTCAGCTTGTTGTTATACCAACCAGTGACTTTAGCAGGAACACTGAAGACCTCTTGTTACAGTTCTCTTTTTAGAATCCAGTTGTACCAGTTTGACTCAACTTTGCTTATGTTTATAAACAATCTTATGTAACAGCCTGAATAGAATTTATGTTATATTGGACAATTAGAGTACTGCTCTTTGCACATGTTCAGTAACTTTATGGTGCGATGCACCTAGATTGGGGTGGGCAATAAACCAGAGGTAGTTCGCCAGGTTAGCTCCTGGCAGGCCACTGGCACTTTGTTTACTGTTTCTGGCCAATGAGAGTGGTGGGAAGGAGCACGGACCAGGACACCACTTCCCCCAGCTGCCGTTGGCCAGGAACAGCGCTCTCGGTCCATGGGAGTTGCAAGCAGCTGTGCTTCTGAACGTGCAGGTAAATAAAGTGCAGGTGGCCTGCCAGGGGCTAACCCTGGTGAACCATGCCTGACCCGAGGGCTGCTTATTGTTCACCACTCATCTAGATTATATATATTTCTAAGATGGTGGGGTGATGTTTGACCCCCCCACTCTGCCCCAGACCCTGCCCCCACTCCATCCATTTCCCCCCTGGTCTCCAGTCAGCCTTTTATGCACTTACCCTGGTTCATTTCACATCTTCTCCTAACCATTTTCCACCCTAGCTAATCCTGCTACCCCCAGAACCTGCACCACTTTTTGCTGAACAGCTGATCCACAGTGGGCAGGAGGTGATGGGAGGGAGAGGAAGGAGCTGATTGGAGGATAGCCAGTGACAGTTGAGCACCTAATATTTTTGGCACAGCCACAGAATCGGTATCTACTTATGCAGAACGAATGGTGGTTTAATTAGAGCAAGGAAGTTTAGAAGATTAAGGACCTGGACTCATGAATATCCAATAATTTCACAAAAATGTTTTTCCTTTTGAGATGTTAGTTCTGTCTACAGGACTATCCACTTTTGACTCACTTATGTTAGTTTACTGTACATTACAAAAAAAAAAAAACCCAAATACAACAAATTGAAATGTAAAGACGATAAATAGTGTGTTTTCTTACCTGGCCAACAGATGCCCTCAAAGTCATGGCCTTTTCGGTCCTTCACAAAATACCCCTTTTTTTTGGCCTCAGAATATATGGCATACGTGGGATCAACCTTAATATGAGGATCTATAATGACGACAAGCTGCCAGCATAAGAGATGAAAAGACACCATTAACATCAACTATTCAGTGTGCTATGGAAAGAGCTCAGTCCTAGTTCAGGTTGAGGTACCTGCAGTCATATTTTCTAAGAAGCAGTTACTGGCCCTTGTGCTTGTAACATATACATATGTAAATGAGCTGATTTTACAAGACAAGTAGCACTGCATGCTTGCCTACTTGAAATAATGGTTAGCTAAGGGCCAGTTCTATCCCATATGCATCAGAAGAAAGTAACCACCGATGCCCTAAAACCATATAATACCCCATTACACAATTGACAAGATGCATCTGGGAGAATACATTTCTCCCTGACCATTGTGGTGACTAGTTTCTTCTCTAAACCATAAACTGTAATTACTGTGACAAAGTCAGGCTGGATGCTATAATTGGAGTGATCATATTGGGCTCTGAAAAGTGGCAGGCGCAAGTGATGGATGGCAGAGATGTTAGCCCTAGAATGATAAAGGCCCTTTTTGCTACATACTGAAAAGAGGTTCTCTAAGGTCAGAGGAGGAGGAGAGTTAAGCTGCTGCGGGATTAGTGGAAGCAGGGCAGAAAGGCTTCTCTAGGGTGAGAGGTTGCTCTTTTTCCTCTGGGGGAAACCACCCAACTGACTGCCTGTTTAGAAGGATGGACGCTCTGTGGGCCAATAACAAGGCAACACTACCTCCTTCAGAGGGGTAGGAAAAGGTATTCTCCCTATATATTCTATGTTGTGAATCTATCTCTTGTTTGGTGGAGGGGCACTTCTTGGTCCTGGGTAAGCAGTAAGTCCCCTCCCTGCATCTCCTCTATGCATGTTCAGCAACTCTCCTTAGCAGCTAGGGTGTGTCTAAACTACATGGCTCCATCGATGGAGCCATGTAGATTAGGCTGATTGGCAAAGGGAAATGAAGCCCCGATTTAAATAATCGCAGCTTCATTTAAATTTACATGGCTGCCGCGCTGAGCCAACAGCTGATCAGCTGTTTGTCAGTTCAGCGCGCTAGTCTGGACTCTCCCGCGCCGACCTGAAAGCCCTTTATTGACCTCCCCTTTATGCCTCGCAGGATGAGGTTTACCGGGGAGGTCAATAAAAGGCTTTCATTTTTTTGGGGGGGAGGGATAGCTCAGTGGTTTGAGCATTGGCCTGCTAAACCAAGGGTTGTGAGTTCAATCCTTGCAGAGGCCATTTAGGGATCTGGGGTAAAAGTTTGTCAGGGGTGGTACTTGGTCCTGCTGTGAAGGCAGGGGATTGGACTCAATGACCTTTCAAGGTCCCTTCCAGTCCTAGGAAATAGGCAATCTCCATTATAATGTCAACAGGGGAGCATTCAGACTAGCATGCTGAGCCAACAAACAGCTAATCAGCTGTTTGTCAGCTCAGCATGGCAGCCATGTAAATTTAAATAAAGCCGCAATTATTTAAATCGCAGCTTCATTTTCCTTTGCCGAACAAACAAATCTACATGGCTCCGTCAACAGAGCCATGTAGTTTAGACATACCCATGGTGAGGGAGCGAGATGGAGCTGCTTCTGCCTGAGACGCAACAGTGGCCCACTCTCTGTCTGGGCTCAGCTCCTGGGGATAAATGCAGAGCATACTGGGAAATGAGGGGGGGTCACCTCGGTCCCTGTCCCTGGCAGCAAGGCCCAAGCAGGGGTCAGCCTGCTGCAACCCAGCTGCCAGGAACAGGGGCCGAGCTACCTGGAACCCCCTTACTCCATACCCTGGCATGTTTCCTTGGTAGCTGAGCCCAGCAAGATGACTTCCGGCCAGGCTTTCTAAGGCTTCTTAGTAATCTGTGTGATATTGAAGATGTTTTATTATTAGCTTGGTGAGTCTAATTCTAGAATAAACTACCAATCTGAGAAATTGCTTGCTCTATTCCTTGCAATCTGCCCTGACATTCTCAGGCTATGTCTAGACTGCAGGCTTCTTTCAGAAGAAGCTTTTCTGGAAGAGGTCTGGCCAAGCAGATAGAAAAAGCGATGTGCTTTTTTGAAAGATAGCGTTCAGACTCACTGGATGCTGTCTCACATAAAATGCCACCTGGAACCACTTCAGGCAGGACTTTAGGTCACCAGTTGCTTCCAAGTGCTGGTGCTGGAGCCTAGCAGAGACACACGCTTAAAGGGACCCCCCCGGACAGCCATTTCTCTGCTGCTGCTGCACGCTTCCCTACCTCTTCGAGGGACAGCTAAGCTCTTGCAGTGCCTGTTGTGGTTGCTCAGCTTTTTCCTTTGTGCCGTGGAGCTGGAGCTGCGATGGCCCCACACGGCCATGCTGCAGTTTCTGCAGCATTTTATGCTAGCTGCCTTCTCTCCCTGGGTGCGGGAGCAACACCCTTGCCACCACAACCCTCAGTGGAGAGGTGTTTCTGGAGGCTGAACACCAGTTCCTGGAGTGGTGGGATGACCAGCAGTGGCTCCAGAACTTCCGCATACAGAAGGCCACCTTTTTGGAGCTGTGTACCTGTCTTGCCCCTGCCCTCCGATGACACAACACCCACCTGCAACCCGCCAGTCCCCTGAAGAAGCGGGTTGCCATTGCCATCTGGAAGCTCGCCACCTCTGACAACTACCGGTCAGTGGGCAACCAGTTCGGCATGGGGAAGTCTACCGTCAGGGCCCTCCTTATGGAGGTAAGGCACTCTTGGGCTGCAGTCCCTGCATGGGTGGGAGGGGAGAGTCCTGGAAAAGGGTGACCCTTGGGAAAAGGGATATGGGGGGTGAAGTGGGGGGAAATTTCCCTCCCTCCTACAGCCCTGCTGCTGGGGGGACAGCCTCATACAGGATGGCTCCTGGGGTGTTTTGGGGAAGGGAGTGGAGGAGTGAAGGACGGGCACTCCCAAGGGTTCAGACACTCCCTCTCTCATTCTCTGTTTTGTGTGTTTGTTTGTCTCCTTCTGCAGCTTGTGAGGGCCATCAATTCCATCCTGCTGCGCAGGGTCATCCGCCTGGGAGACCTGGACCTGATCGTGGCTGGATTTCCTGCCCTGGGGTTCCCAAACTGCAGTGGAGCGATTGATGAGACCCACATCCCACCCTCAACATAGAACAGCCCAGTAGATAAACTGCAGTGGCTACTTTTTTATGGTGCTGCAGGCCCTGATCGATCACTGTGGACAGTTCACGGACATTTTCGCTGGGTAGTTGGGCAGGACACACAATGCCTGGATTTTTTGGAACTCCAGCCTCTACGGGAAGTTGGAGGCGGGCATATTCTTCTCCTGCTGAGACTTTGAGGTTGGGGTTAGTGCCGATGCCGCTGTGTGGGGGATGCGGCCTACCTCTTGATGTCGTGGCTTATGAAGCCTTATACCAGCCACCTGGACCCCAGCAGGGACCAATTTAGTGCCCACCTCAACTGGGCCAGGATCCAAGCACAGTGTACCTTCGGCTGCCTCAAGGCACGTTTCAGGTGCCTCCTGACCCACCTGGACATGGGGAAGCACAACATCCCTGAGCTGGTGTCGGCACATTGTGTCCTCCACAACATTGTGGAATGGAAGGGGGAGGCCTTCCTCCCTGGGTGGGGGTAGATGCTGGCCGCAAGGGGAGACCCTTTGAGCAGCTGCAGACAGCTGCCATCTACCAGGCCCATCAGGCCAGGGTGCACATCTGGGAGGCCCTGAGGGAGAGTTTCTCTCCAGCACCCCAGTAACTCTCCCCAGGGCCTCTCCCCTAGAGGCCTGTGGCTTGCTGCACAATCCCTTTCCCACCACAACCCCTCCCTTCGCCCCTTCCCTGACTTCTCAATAAAGACACCTGTTTTAGTTTTGAACAAAATGCCTTTGGCAGGGAGAGCTGTGCGGTCAAGGTGCTGCTCTCAGGCTGGCTTCCTGCCACAAGGCTAGTCCATGGTGCCTGCAGTTTTAAGAGGGGGCAGGAGACAGGAATTATAGAGTTGTGATTACTTTGGATGTAGGACACCTGTGTTATTTCCTAGAGGCCTCTTTTTTCAAAAGAAAATCCTCTTCCCTGTCCACACACGAGTTTTTCTGAAAGAGGCTTCTTCCTCGTAGAAAGAGGATTACTAATGCTGGAAAACCCCGTTTTTTCTATTTTCTTTCGAAAGAATGCGATTGCAGTGTGGATGTAATTGAAGTTTTTTCAGAAAAACTAATGTTTTTCTTAAAAAAAAAAAAACTCTGTAGTGTAGACATTCCCTCAGTGAAGGTTACAGCCCTTGTAGGCACTCAGTCAAATATAAAAAGCAAAGACGGGCCTTGGCCCACCTTTCTTTTCTCCCATCTTCACTGTAACAAGACTGCTTGAAGCACATGAGTGGAAGATCTTTCCCAGTCTGAGACCAAACACCAGCTTGTGTACTAAGAACTCAAGTGCCTGCAACATCCAAAGGGGCGAGAAAAACTGTATGTTTCAAATTAAGCTTTGGTAAAATTTAGGAAACTGCTTGTATTTTTAACCTTTATTTCTTTTTGTATCTAATTCTGACCACCTATGCCTACATCACTAGTAATCACTTGAAGTCTATCTTTCTATAGTTAAATAATTTTATTTTAATGTTTTATCTAAACCAATGTGTTTGTAACTGCTGCTGGGGACATGGAATTAAATATGTTTGCTAAAATATTTAGGGCCTAGATCATGCTGTACTATTACATTTGCCTTCCTCCCTCTGTATAACGTACCTTGCGTTTTTTCCTCTTGAGCAGTTCCTGCATCCTTTTGGGGTTGTGGAATTTTTTCTTGTCCCAGGTGAAGTATCTCTTGCCCTCTGTGTGCTCTATGTCCAGCCATATAACATCATACGGGATGTCATGTTCATCAAAGCCAGCGTCTACTGCTTCTACATCCTGCTCATCCTCATAGTTCCAGCGGCACTGGTGGTAGCCCAAGGAGAAGAATGGAGGCAAGGCTTGAGTGCCTAGGAACAGATATGAAATTAGAAGCTAAAACACTAAGCATAATATTGGTATTGCCTCTCCAGGTTACCTGGAGTCTCTGGTAAAGTCAGTGGGAGTGACATAGCTGAAATCATATGCAAATGTTTGAAACTGAAGAACGTTAACCCAAGGTTCAGTCTGAAGCACAATTTGAGTTACTAATACCAGAAACTAAGATCATCATAAATTTTATGACAGGCTTAACTGTTGCAGAAGCTGCTGTAAGGATTGTATCATAGGGCTGAGAAAACATGTTATTATGGACTGATATAATAATGCATTATATCATTATTCTAGTGACCATTATTCACCATGCTAAAATCTTTGGTTGAAGTTTTAAAAATATTGTGGGTGAATGTAAGGCTCATTGACATGCATGACTAACTACATGAGGCTTAGAGCAGAAGATCATCTTCTTCCTGCTGGTACACTTCATAAATGATTTTAATTGCCCTTACTCTAGCATTTCCAACTTGAGCAGAAACTACTATGTGTTAGTAGTAGAAAATAAAACCAGTTCCTTAAGTGCAATAATAGTAAGAGACCAAAGGGTCAGAAGTGGATGGATTTTTTTTTAATTTTCCAAAAATCTTCTGTGTGGGTGTATCATACACCAATAGGACCAGCAGTCTGAAATGTTTCATACTGTGGGCCTCAGCTTTGGGAGACAGTCATGTGAACTATTTACTCTCCCATTTATGACCAAATAGGTCACTTCTCCTCCTATTCATGATCAAATAATATCCTTGCGGCGATTGCTTAAATGGAAAAGTAACATTTGGAAAGCGTGTGTGTACTCTTAACTCTCTTAAATATAGTAAGACCAGGTGGATGAGGTGATACCCTTTATTGGACCAACTTCTGTTGTCTTTCATCAAGCTTTAGACCTTACCTCACAGAGCTCTTCTTCCACCAATAAAAGTTGGTCGAATAAAACGTATTACCTCATTCTCCTTGTCTCCCTACTGTCCAGAGACCAACATGGCTACAACAACACTGCCTATTGTAATTTTTCCTTTATAAAAAAAATGTAGTCACACTACACTTTTACTCTTCTGTCTTCCCTTGCCCATGACCCTTTGGCATCTGGCCTCTTTCTTCTCCTATCACTCTGCATTTGCTTTCCTGACACTTCAGTATCCCTTCTCTCATGGAAACACTGGACAGCTTCTGTCTGACCCCCTTGCTCCTTAGACATACTCTCCTGTTGCTTCATTCTTTTCTCTCACTGCTGCCTGGTAGCTCCAGTCCCTAGGATTTTCTCCTGTTTCCTCTTTTCCCTTCATGGAAAAGCAGCCTTCAGTAGCAACAATTAGAGTGGCTTTATATTTTCAGCTACTTTTAGAGGCCAAGCCTGGACACCAGTAGATGCTGCTGAAAACAAGAATGAAAGCCATCACTCCACAGAACACCAATAAGTGCTCTGTGACCCACATATTGGGAATGTCTATCCTACTTCATTCAACGAGATAAGTAAACATTAGTCCATTTTTTGATACATGTCCTGCAGTTCCCACATTATTTAGGTAATGACAGGGACCCTTATTGATGAACGTACGCTGCTGTTTCTTCACTGATACAAGACAATACCTGTTAATTGTGCATATTGCTTGAAGAGATCAAAAGGGGAGGGCCCCATTAGCAAGAAAACATCAATTATTCCACTTTCTGACATCCAACGCACATCTGTTTGAGGCACAACTCTCTGCTTAGTCACGTCTGGAGGGGATCTGCATGGTACATGCTTTGAAAGGAACAAAAAGTAGAATCTGAAGCCCTCTCTGTACCAAAGATTAATTTTTACAATCTCTCCATTGATTATCCAGACCTCAATATTTCTCACTGATTTTTATATAATTAAATATAAATAGTGCATTTTTTACCATGATAATGCAATATCTTTTTTACGGTTCCATTTTAATAAAACTAATATTGAATGTCAATAGATGTGAAATCATAGCTATACTCTTATTTCATGAATACTAGCAATATAGTAACATGAAGAATCGGGGGGGCAGAAAATACAAAGAATTTCTAAATTCCATGTTTTCATAAAATGTTAGTTTAAAATGCACAATATGTTTTCTGCTCTTGATTGTGTTGACTATTTATTTTTGTAGATTTCTCTTTCAGGATTTGAAGTACTTCAAAATGTTCTTTTCTTATATGAAATGTATTATGCAATTCCTGCATCTTGTATTCTGAAAAATGCATCCTTATGATCACATCTAAAGTTCACTCAAATAAATGGGGAGGTAGAGAAAAGAGAGTTACCATTCCTGATTCACTGAGGCAAAAGGTGAACATGAAGTTAAGCTGTCACACTGTCCTGCGTGGGAGTATTTTAGTTTCTTATTGAATTCTTAGTGATGATACAATGCATCTCTCACCTCCATTACAGCTTTTGTATTAATTTCCACTAGAGTTTCTGAGGAATTCAGCCAGAAGATCCCAGAAGTTCTGTTAAGTTTATGTGCTAACAGAAAAGGTACTGAACCATAAATGCCCATTTTGTCATGGATCTTGTGCCCGTAGACATCCAAGTTAAAAAGTCGGTAGGCATCATTGTCACTGGAATGAACAAACAGACATGTAACTTGTAATCATTATTCACTGGGCCAACTTAAACTCTGCTGTACCTCTATTGAACTCAAAGGTGTAACCTCAGGGATTAATATGGTGTATTCTCTAGTAGAGATGTAAAATTCCTTGTAATTGGTTAACCAGTTAAACATGATGCTTACTTCATGTTTAACCCGTTAACCAATTAAGAGGAGCTACTCCAGCCCAGGATGCCTAGAGTAGTCCTTGTCTGTTAACCATGGATAGAGGCTGCTCCGGGCCTGCCATAGACCAAACCATGTCTGCAGCGGGCTAGGAGCTGCTCCAGCCCCCCGTGATTAACTGGAACTGGTAAATATCACCCAACACAATTGGTGGCATGGATTACCATTTATTTCACTTTGGTCAAAGCTAGCTGTATCAGTTTATGTCTCTTGTGGTCAATGACACTGCTATTGATGGGGTCTTATCCTTATACTATTAACATTCAGCTGCCCCATTTTCCTACTTAAATCCCTTGGGCTGTGTCTAGACTGCAAGCCTCTTTCGAAAGAGAGCGTCTAGACTGCACAGTGAACTTTCGAAAAAGCGGCTTGCTTTTTCGAAAGAAAGCATCCAGTGAGTCTGGATGCTCTCTTTTGAAGAAGCCCTATTTACATTGAAGAACGCCTTCTTTCGAAAGAGGAACTTTCGAAAGAAGGCGTTCTTCCTCGTGAAATGAGGTTTACCACCATCGAAAGAAAAGCTGCGTTCTTTCGATTTAATTTCGAAAGAACGCGGCTTGAGTCTGGACGCAGGGGAAGTTTTTTTGGAAAAAGGCTACTTTTCCCGAAAAAAACCCTGAGTCTGGACACAGCCATGGAGAGCTGTTCATTTAAACATTTCAGTAAAGTATATGCTGGTTAAACCTGAGAATTCTCATGCAGAATTGGTTGCACAGAAACTTAATAAAGAACTGGAGGCATCAGTGGTAGCACTGTGGAGCTGGAAGCAGAGCAGCCTACTCCTTGAGCACAGGTACCATGATTTTATGTGTTGCTACCATTAAAACAAAATGTCTCATATACTGTACTTGTATACGGCATAGGCATCTTAAGCCTTGTTTGAATTAAATCACCTGGAAAACGTTGTGGCTTCTCCATTACAGGATTTATAAAGTTTTCTTTAGTTATTCACCAATCCACCTACCAACTAAGCTGCCATAACCATTCTAATTTGGTAAAAAAGGATCCCACTCCTTGGGCTCATTCAGTCTTGGATTTTCTCACATCGCTTGATGATGTCTGTCATGACGTGCAAGGGCCATCTGAACAACAATCCAGTGTGCTCAGTTACATTCTTATGCAAATCTAAATGTTCAAAGGGGACATTAGTACAAAGATCATCTGAAGTTGTTCCCATTGGATCGTCAAGTTTTAGATGTGCTACTCCTCTTAATTATCCCCAAAGTCAGAATTACAGCTCTCTTGAAGAAGCAGATCCACTACTCTTACCTGGTGTTTTTGAGGAGAAGTGTCTCTGCATGCTCTGGTATTCCATAGACATGTTCAAATCCATGCAAAGAAAAATCCAAGCCTATGGAACTGGGACCTACAAAAACAGTATTAAAATACAACAGCCCAGAGGTCTGCTCTCATCTGGGCCTCACTTAAAGAAATATGAGAACAATATAAGAAATCAGAATAAACTAATTATAAAAATGGCCTGTTTACTAATTGCTTTAAACTTGATTTGAGATTCACTTCTATTAGTATATGCTTACTATATGGGAAAGTTTTCTAGGGGTACCTATTTGTCAGGGTTTTTTATAAATTTTAAACTATCATGAAAGGGGAAAATAATGAATTTATAATAATATGCCCAAAGTTTCGGGTTATTTTATAGTTCTCAAACTATTTATTATTCTGCAATAAAAACCGTTTAAAATTCTGTCCCAATTCCTGCAAGCTCTGCCCTGCTGCAGAAGCAATGTAACAAGGGGACATAAGAAAGCCAGTGCTGCATCTTTTCCAGCACTCATTTTCCATCTCAGCCTCTGCAAGGCTAAAGCACTGCACAGATAAGTCTTAAAACAAGTCATATCAATTCTGTCAGCCAAATCATTTTCTTTCATGGGGGTAAATGCAGAGCAATCTCAATGATAAATTAATGGAGATTGTCTATCTTCTAGAACTGGAAGGGACCTTGAAAGGTCATCAAGTCCAGTCCCCTGCCTTCACAGCAGGACCAAGTACCATCCCTGACAAATTTTTGCCCCAAATGGCCTCCGCAAAGATTGAACTCACAACCCTGGGTTTAGCAGGCCAATGCTCAAACCACTGAGCTATCCCTCCCCCCAGAGGTGGCTGATCCCTATTCTGGCTCCCCCCACAGGAGCAGGGGGCTTGAAGCAGAAGTTAGCCAGAGCGGGGTAAGAACCCTATCCGCTATACAGGAGCCACTCTTCCTCCTCCTTTTTTTTACCCTCCCTGCCAGCTGAACTCAGCTGAGAAAGCCAATGTTGCAGCCTCTGAACATGACTACTGGATCTAAGCTCCCATACGGGACGTAAGCAGCTGAATGTCTCTACTTCCCAATGCTTTGGGGCTTACACGGGAAGCAGATCTCTGGACATAATCTCATGGCAGCAGTGTGCATGCTCAGGTAGGAGTTGGGCACCTGGAGTAAGGCTACAGTATGCATGCTCAGAGGCAAAAACTTAGGTGTCTCTAAGATTAAGGGGCAGCTGAGTGGGAGTTTTGTGGGCCATAGTGATGCCTAAAAATACTAACTACCTTTTGGTTTGCACTTACGCCCAATTGATCCTTGGCCTCTCTATTGGATCTGCTCGCGTAGTGCGTGATAAAGGCCTATGGGGAATAGGAAATGGATTGAGTTAGCCAGTTGGTTTCATGTAAAACATAAGTTTTTATGAATTTGTTATTAATTGAGGCTGGAATTGAACTAGGGACCTAGAGAGATTTATAGTTCATTAATATTATTAATTTATCCCTTGAGCCTTCTAGTAGGAGAAAAGGAATTAACTGGATAGCCATTAAGTAGCTAAACACAAAGGCAGATAGATATCTAGATGAGCATGTATTTATGCAAACTGGTAAAGGTGTTTTCAATTCTACACTAGATGCAATCTTACCATTAGCTTTGATGTCTAAAAAGCTGCCAAATTTCTCTTCCCAGAGACTCAGATCCTCTTGATTTTCCTGTATGTACAAAAAAATAAGCAAATCTGACTTCGCTAACTGCATTTATTTATAGAACATGTTATTTATAAGTGAGATGCATGTGTTCTCGAGGTGCATTGTTTACTTGGTACGTTGTTGAATACAGGTGGAATGTGGGCCAAAAACACTCTTCAGGTGCTAGCCAGGCATGTGACCCATGAAGAACTGATGCTCTGATGGAATACAACTGTGCTCTGCAGCAGCACAAAAGAAGAACACAGATAACAAGGGCAGAAGGGACAGTTTCAATAGTGTTGTCTGATTCCTGATATAACACAGGCCACACAACTTCCCTGAAATAATGCCTAAAAATACACCTTTAATTTAAAAATTGTCAGTGATGGAGCATCCACTACAACATTTGTGGTGTAAATTATTCCAATGATTAATTTATCTCACTGTTAATAATTTCCACCTTATTTCTTGTCTGAATTTGTCTGGCTTCAGTTTCCAGCCATTGGATCAGATTATATCTTTCTCTGCTAGATTGAAAAGCCTATTAAATATCTGTTCCCCATCTAGATTCCTGAAGGCTAGTCAAGTTTTAACTCCTTAAGCTTTTCTCTGTTAAGAAAGAGAGACTTAAAGAGGCTAATCTATCATTAAGGCATGCCTTTTAATCCTTCAATCATTCTTGTGGCTTTGAATCCTATTTGTCAATACCCTTCTTGAATTATTGGCACCAGAACTGAACCCAGTATTCCAGTACTAGTCACACCAGTGCCAAATAACTTCGTATCCTACTTAAGATCCCTTTTTATGCATCACCTGGATTGTATTAGCATCTGGAGCAACACCATCCTTCTGGGAACTCATGTTAAGCTGATTATCCACCAATCCTGCTCCCCTAGTCCTTTTCAGTGTCACTGCTTTCCCCCCCATCCTCCAAATATGCTTGCACCCAGTTTGCCAAGTGATCCAGATTGCTCTGATTCAGTTACCTGTCCTCTATTATCTACCACTTTCCCAAGTTGTGTGTCATCTGCAAACTTTATTGGTGATGACACATGGCTTTCTTCCAGGTCATTGAAAGCCAGTTCATTAAATAGTGTAGAGCCAAGAACCTCACCTTGCAGGATCCCACTGGAAACACAGCCACTTGATCACAATTCCCCATTTACAATTACATTCTGAGACCTATCACTTACCCAGCATTTAATTTATTATAATTTTATGTTCTATTTTTTGTAATAAAAATGTGCAGTATCAAATCAAATGCCTTACAGAAGGCCAATTTTTGGCTTGCTACTGCACAAAAGATCTCAAAAAGTCACGCAGCAATATAGATACTATTTCAACCTATTTGACCCTGAGTTCCCAGGACATGCCAGGCACTGGACAAGCCTCCTAGAGTCTCCAACCCTTTCAGGAATTATGGCCTCCCTCGAGTCTTGAACCCTGTGTCCTACTATCCAATCTCTTTGGATTTAACCTTTTTGCAATATTCTTTCTGGTCATCTTTTCACATTGACTTCTGCACAAAATGAGCTGTGACAGTCTGTATCCCTCTGTTCACCACTTTTACAAAACTCTGATAAATTGTGCAAAGCATACTTTGAAAGTATTTGAATACTCATCCTTTACAGATTATTGTCTTAGTAAATATGCATGGCAACACTGTATATATAATTGTAAGAATTTAAGGTGTGATATTAAGACAGGTTCCAACATGTTCTGGAGAGCAGTCACAAACCAGTTCCCTAGAAACAAAAGGCTAGCCAATGCCTCAGTGAGATGTCAATTAGATGAAGTGGACCAACAACTGATTAAGTGGCAGGAAAGAGGATGTGGACAAAGAAACCCCCGCTCCTGCACCTCCCTCTCCGCTCTTCTTTCTTGCTCTTGCTCTGCCCCATCTATTTCCCCAGTCTCTCCCAACTGATGCCACTCAGGGGCTAGTAAGGGTGAGGCACTAGCAGCAGGGATCATCCCCACCACTCACCAGCAGTGTTGGGGGACGGGGAAAGGGAGCAACATTAATCCCTGAGCAACGTGACCAGCAGCTGAGGGAGCTGAGGTTGCTCCATTTCCTCCCACTGCTGCCAGTGAGTGTGGGGGGGCCAACCTCTCTGCCCATGGTGTTGGGAGGGTCACGTGCCTCCTGCCCCCCCTCATGTGTCGCCCCAGCTAGTGTAAACAATGTTTAGTCAGCACACAGTTGTTCATCAGTCTAGCTTGTACTCTGGGTAATGTCACATCCTCCTACACCAATTCTGACATCCTAGGACATCCTCAAAACACTCTTAGGGTATGTCTACACTCCCACCCTAGTTCGAACTAGGGTGGTTAATGTAGGCAACCGAAGTTGCAAATGAAGCCCGGGATTTAAATATCCCGGGCTTCATTTGCATCTTGCCGGGCGCCGCCATTTTTAAAGCCCCGGTAGTTCGGACTCTGTGCACGCGGCTACACGCGGCACGGAGTAGGTAGTTCGAATTAGGCTAATTAGAACTACCGTTACACCTCGTTCCACGAGGAATAATGGTAGTTCGAATTAGAAAGCCTAAAGCCTCAGGTTGGCTCTTTGGAAGCCCATGCCATAACACTAGCCCATGTCATACAAATACATAGTTTGTCATAATGACAACTGATCCATCTTTCTCACAGGATACAGATGCCAGAATCACAAACCAAGCTGAGGTTACCTGAGAGGAGTCAGTTGGTGTGTCCTCTTTGTTCTGTGCTGTGCTTTTGCTAATGAAAACAAATGAGCAGAAATAACCAGTTAATTGAGAGGATTTCAGATGGAAAACTTTAAAACTGCAACATCTCCTACAATATCTGGTACTTTTAGCATTCAACTTTTTTGAATAGTCGTGTGTTGAGATCTGTGGTTGCCAAGTGATTTTAGTATTTCTTTCAATGCCTTCCATTTCAAACCAGAGCTAGTTTGGGTTATTCTGTTCAACTAGTCCCTGGGACTTCTACAGTTACTTCTAATAATGTCAACATTTTCCTCTCTTTATCACCACAGAAAAGATTTTCAGACTAGATATTTTGTGTGTTCTGTTATGCAGAGCGTTTGTGTCAATTACAAGCATACATTATTATATTATATTATTATTATTTTTAAATTAGTTATTTCCTCTAAGATAGCACTGTGGTAGATAACTCTCTCAGCTCTGTAGAATGCCACACCATTTCCATTTCCCTTGAATTGTGGCCCCTCATTCGTTCAGTGTTTTGCAACACTGCTGGATTGCTAACTATTGCAGCTAAATCATGAACAGCCTTTTCACAAGGAGCAGGTTAGGCTATAATGAGGTTGGGTGGAGAAAAAAAAAATGTATGGACCTGATCAAAAGGAGATACTGGGCACGCTCAACTCCCCAATAAAATCAAGGGTAATTAAGGGTGCTCAGTATCTTACATAATTGGCCCATAAATAGGATAAAGAGGCAGAATGAGTGGGTCCAAGCAGCCTTAAGTTAAATTGGTTCAAAATCCTTTCAAAGGTTTAAGACGAGAGCCCCTTTTACAAATTCTCTAGTTCAGTGGCTCTCAACCTTTCCAAACTACTGTTCCCCTTTTAGGAGTCTGATTTGTCTTGTCTTGCTTACTAATAAAAAGACAAGAGTGTCACAGAACACTATTACTGAAAAATCACTTACTTTCTCATTTTTACCATGTAAGTATAAACTACATCAATTGAAACATAAATATTGTACTTATATTTCAATGTATGATATATACAGTAGTATAAACTAGTCATTGTCCGTATGAAATTTTAGTTTGTACTGCCTTTGCTAGTACTTTTCAAATGAGGGCAGCTGATGTACCCTCAGAAGACCTCAGTGGTACATGTACCCCTGTTGAGAACCACTGCTCTACAGGAATCAGCAAAGGGAGACCTCCAAACTTCAATGTTTGGGGTGCCCTCAATCAGAGATAGGATGGACGTGCTGTCTGTCACAAGATCAAATTCTGTCCTGACTTCAGTGGGGTCATGCAGGGAGTAAGTCAAAACAAAGCCTGTCCTTATTTGTGCTAGAACTTTTCTGTGAATATCAGCACCAAGAGCACTACCTGTAGACAAAATAGCATTACAAATTTTGGCAGTGCAGTATTTTTGCTGATCTGAATTCTTGCTGGCTTATTTTCAGCAGTATGACAAACACGGCACACTGTGGGACATGGAGATATCACACCTGTTTTGGGGTGGTGGTTGTAGATGCTCAAAGTACAACAGGCCATTGCCGTTCACACTCAGTACAGTCTCACCCTTGGACTCTAATACTATCTGGAATGGATTTGCTGTGATGTGAAGCTTGTGGTCCTCATGATCACATGTCAGTACCAGAATGCCTGCCTCCTTCTGGGCTATAGAGAGCCTGGCAAATTAAAAAAAAAAAAAAGGATAGGTAATAGATTTCTATGGATTTTAGATAACTATAGAGAAACAACAACAAATTAGACAAAAGATAATGTAAGAATTATTGTACAACATAAGGCCAAATCCCGAAACGATTATTAAAGCACAACTCCGTTCTCTTAAATAACTGTGGATTCCGAACAAACTACCAGGAGTCTGGTGGCACCTTAAAGACTATCACATTTAATAGGGCAGTGATCTCCAACCTTTTTAAGCATGAGATCACTTTTTGAATTTAAGTGCAATCCAGGATCTACCTCAAACCCAAACACCCTTGCCCCATCTCCTTCCCACCCCTTCAAGGCCCTACCCCTGCTCATCCCATCCTCCTTCACTGTTATCAGGCAAGGGGTAGGGGTTTGGGGTGCAGGAGGAATTCAGGACTGGGGTGGGGTTTGGATGCAGGATCCAGTTGGGCACCATTTACCACAAATGGCTTCTGGATGGTGGTGCAGTGAGGCTAATACAGGCTCTCCCCTGCTCTGGCCTTGCACCACTCCCAAAAGCAGCCAGCAAACTCTCTCCATTCCTTCCCCCTCTGCTCTGTGGAGATGTGGCACAGGGTGGAAAAAGGGGCACTCCTCTTCTTCCCATGCCTTGCACAGCAAGCAGGAGACTCCCAGGAGTGAGTGGCACCTCCAAAGCAGAAGGCAGGAGCAGCACAGCAATGCTCAGTGTAGCAGATGAAGTGCTGGCACTTGACAGCCTCCTGGCCAAACCTGTCAGGATCACCTGTCAAAGACTCCAAGATCTACCAGTAGATTCCGATCTACTGGTTGGTGACCACTGTATTAAGGCATAATAAGCTTTCATGGGATACAGCCCACTTCCTCGGATGCTTGAAGTGAAAGAAAGGGATCCAGAGATAGGAGTGTGTAACATCAGGGTGGATGTGGCTCACCTCCAACAGTGATGAGAAGGTGAAAGTACCTAAAGGGGAAATTACCTATTGTAATGAAAGAGCCACTAAGGACTTCTGGATCTGACCCATGACTGAACAATTCAATAGCTGGCTACAAAATGTCCTTCAATATTCTCAATGCATGTTATTTTTTCAATACAAGCAGACACACAATGATGCATACTAACACCTAATACAGTGACTCATATACTTACAGGTTTAACATAGGAGGCTATTTCATCTTCCTCAATGTGCAACATTTATCCTCAGAAACAAATTCACATTCATAAGCCAATTGCTTTTTTCCCCCTCCCGCTAAGATCCTGGTATTCATGAGGGTAAGTACAATTGTACCCAAAAGAGAGGGATGGAGGGATGAGACCACACTGTTGAGGGAGAAGAGGAATAAGAAATTAAGATATTATATCACCTTTCAGAACTTACCTCTGAGTGGTAGGTTCTTTTATGAGAACATCATGGACTTCATATCTTGATTTGAGAGGCGATACCTCATTAATTTTAAGCCTGAAAACGTTGCCTTCTATTGCATAAATTTCCACTAGGAGAGAAACCTGGGAACAAATGGATATAGCTAGTGCTACATGGTGATAAAGGTGTTGATTATATTTTAATTCAGAAATTCTAGATCTCATATCCCCGGACATTTATTTTCTGAAAAAACAAAACAAAACTCTGTCTTCCTTCTGATCCAGCATAGTTTGCACACTATGCATTTGAATTTGCACCAAAAAGATCAATTTCACTGTTTTTAAGAAACAAATATTCTTAGTTTGTAAGTGCAACTGGACAGATTTATTTACGAAAAGCCAAGTCAGAGTCTTTGTTTAGCATTTTTCAAGAAATTGCCACCACCGTATTGGTGCAATTCCACCAATATTAACAGCAGGAGCACTAGTGTAGACAATGCTTGAGGCTCAGGCAGTTTTATTGCTGTGTCATTGAGAACTGCTGTGTGAGCAGGATTAGGTGGCATTGTATTAAATATGTGAATGCCCTAATTACTGTACTACTCCCAATGGTGCTTACACTGGTGGAGCTGCACAGTGGGAAATTAAAACAACAAAAAAACTAGTATTTACCTACCTGATAGGTCTCTCTACTTGGTCTTTGTAATTCACAAGCATGTAAAGTGGAGTATAAGTCACATAACTATCTCACCCCAAATAACTCCTTTTCCCCCCACTGTGTAGTGTCTGCTGCATGCAGAAATCTTTACAATGTCGTGTCCCCCCCTTGCTTGACACCTGGAATGTTGGCCATCAGTCTCTTGTAGGTGAGGAAAAAAGTCATTGTCATTCCTTCTATCAGGTTGTAGGGACCCTTATAAGGGTCTTCGTTGCCCTAAGAGCTTAATATGCTAACTTCATAGACTAAACCAGTGGTTTTCAAACTTTTTTTCTCATGACCCAGTTACAGAAAATTGTTGATGCCCGTGACCCAACATAATTTGACTATAGTGTGGGCTCTGGAGTGGGTTGAGAGCTTTGGGGTGTGGGAGGAGGATCTGGCTATAGAGGGTGGTCAGCGCTGGGGCAGGAGAGGCTTACCTTGAGCAGCTCCTGGACAGTGGTGCTAAGGGGGTGCTAAGGTAGGGATCCTGCCTCTCCTGGCACCACAAACCATGCTGCCCCTAGAAGCAGCCAGCAGCAGGTTCCCAGCCAATGGGAGTGCTGAGCTAGTGATCAGGGCAGGGGAAGTGTACAGAGCCCTGTGTGCGCCCCATCTCCACCACCTAGGAGCCAGGCCTACTGCCGGCCGCTTCTAGGGCATAGCACAGTCTGCAGTGCCAGGAGAGGCAGGCAGTCTGCCTTAGCACCCCACTGCTCACCTGATTCCCCTGCAGCAACGAGGCCCTGTGCCTGACATTTGCGACCCATAGTTTGAAAACCACTAGACTAGACTTATGCCCCTATTGGTATGAGAGGCTGGATTTGGCTGATCCTGGATCTTCTGTATAGAAAGTCACTAGGAACAGGATATATTAAACATCTTTGCTCATTTAACTTCCTTATCTGTGACATTTTAAAAAGAAAAACTATCCAGACAAAAATTTATAGGATGCAAAACCTTTATCTGAAAACTACAGTAGCTGATTTTTTTCAGTTGACATGCACTACAACGCACACAAAGAAAACAATGTTGTCCTCACTCCGTTAGGGCAGACTTGAATTTATTATTTTGGAAAGCGGGAGAAAGCTTTAAACCTAAATACCTTTTTCAGTTAAAAAGACATTGATTTAGGTTTTTTGTATTGCTATAGAAATAAACATATTTCTTAATATTAAAAACTATTTTATTTCTTTAAAGGAGACTCTCTTTATATTAATATACATCATCTGTAAAATCAAGGACATCTTTGGGATGAAAATATTTTATATGTTATCACAGAACTACCTGCATCCAAGACTCTCAAGTGACTTTACAAATGTTACAATATTATCAGTCTTGTTTTAAAGAGAGTCGGTAGAGAAAGGTCCTACTTTCCCAATTCACTTTACCACTGCCTCCCTTAACGTGCAAGATCTCACCTTCTCATTAATTATTTGGAGTGTGACACTGTCGTTGCATAATGTAACTGAATCCAACAATGCTTTATACAAGGACTTCCCAGGATGCAGAAGTTTCTGACGTCTGCAAAGACAGAATATTGTTGTTGGCCTCTCTATATGCCATGATTTGCATGATATTAGGGAATACTATATTAAATAGGAATTGTTTGCTAAGTAGGATAACTCTCTCTCGCATTTTTCACGTGTTGTGAAGCAGTTCTCTGAGATTAAGGAACTCAAAGAATACCATTCTTTTTAATTGTATCTTTCTTTAACGGACTCTTAGGGAGCATCCTTCAGAAACCCAATCATGTTCACTACCTTCTATTTTTTTCATTATGTTACAGGTATTATTAACTATTTATAACACCTAGAGGCAGGGGCAGATGACCGTTTTGCGGGGCCCCGGGCAGCATAATTCTGCAGGGCCCCCCCTTTGCCACGGCGCATGCCACTGAAGCGCGGGGCCCGGGGCGGCCGCCCCATTCGCCCTGCCTTATATCCGCCCCTGCCTAGAGGCCTTGACCAGGACAAGGTTCCTGCTGTGTTAGTCAGTGACAGAGAAAGATAAAGACATGATTCCTATACATTTATAAGTTTATAAATAGATCATGTGTATGAGTTACACAAGAGCTTTTTGAGTTCATAATCACTAAAAATATCAGTACAGTTTTTTTTGCAATAATAGGGTTAACGCAAGTGCCCTGGCTAGATTTCAAATTGGGCAATAATATTCCACCTCCTTAGCTTCCCCCTGCAGTTTCAGAGGGATGAAATTTACTTCACTTCCTGTCATATTTCTGGCTTGATCTGCCCTGCATTTCACTGATGGGTAAAGCAAATCTCTTCTGTATGTATGATTTATATGTATTTTGTATAGATTAGAATATTGCAGACAAATATAGGCTCATTTAAAAATGCTATCTTTAAAAGCATGACCAAGATGAGAACTAACATATAAAAACATCTTGCTGTGCATAACTGAGCCTTTAGGATGGAATTCGCTACACAGGAGAAATAAACATGTAAGAGGTTAGATGTGTAATTTGCTAATTAGTACAACTAGGGAGCAGTTACTTATTTTTTCCACATAAGCTCAGATAATAGTTGGAAAATGGATTCCAGGTAAATGCGGGAGAAGGGAATATTTACATTTGGAGTAATTTCATGAGAATAATAGGGCATAGGGTTCAGGTTTGATAATGTAGGTTTAGCACCACTGAAATCCCCCGAGTCTTATAAAGTTTTGGCCCTACAGGGCAGGAATCTCAGGAGAACAAGTGATCTTCTGAGATTTTGGGCCATATAAGAATAAAATCCAGAAAACAAGACCCCTCCAATCTTATCCAAATGTAAATAGTACATGGACGTCGGGTATGTAAGGCAGAGGAAGGTTCTGCCTTCCCAAACTGTCAGGTATAGCCCTGCCCACACTCCTGCCATAGACGTTCTGGGGGAGGAGTGTTGCTACCCCCAGTGCCTGCCCTCCCGCTATTGGAGAGGCTGTGCAGTGCAGCACGCCCTCTTCCCTCCTCCAGTGCTCTGGGGCTGGAGATGCAGGGGCTACACGGCATGGTGCAGCACGTCCTCCCTCCTTCCTCCCCTGAGGCTATGCTGAGCTCGGCCGGGCAGCGCGACGCACTTTCCTCTCAGGCTGAGGAGGCTGCAGTGGGCGCATGCCAGCTCCCGTCCTGGTAGTTGGAATGGGGGTGCATGTGCGCACCGCTCCCACCTTTCTGGGGGAGGGACAGGGGCGTGGCCTAGCAGAAAGGGCAGGGCTGGAGGTGGGGCTGGCGGCTTGCCTCCCCCAGCCCTGCCTTCATCCACTATCCATGAAATAGTATAGGCGTTTGTTAAGATAAAGAGATTCAAATTCAGACTTTCCTGGAATTTTGGGGGTGAACGAGGTGATCCTGCATTTGAGATTCTAATTTGACCCAGTCTCTGTTTAGAAGTTACGAATTATTTCCAAACATCGTATTGCTATTGAATGGAAAGCTCTCCTTGCAAGTTGTATTCATTCTCAAGCTCTGGCCAACTTTGTGCATTCTTTGGTTGCTTTAAACAGGGGGAGGAAAAAGGACCTTTTTTGGAATGGAGGCCACTGACCCACAGGAAAAAAAAAAAAAAAATCAATCAGGGGCTGCACATGAGAAGCAAAAAACCAAAAACAACCCCTCCTCCCCAAAACCCTCACGGATGTGGCCCCCAACTGAGAAGAAGAAAGACACTCTTCACATTCCTCTTGCGCACCAGAGCCTAAGGAGACCCAACCTAGTAGATTTTCTATGCTCCAGCCCCATAGTGGGGCAGCTGGAGAGGAGGAGAAGGACTGGAGCACCAGTGCTGCCTTTCCAATGCTGGGGGAAGGGGCTGAGCCTTGGAGGTCGCATCCGGCCCCTAGGCCTTAGGTTCTTAACTCCGGCTTTAAACTAAGATATGATTAGGAAGTGTATTTTTTTTTGTTTCAACGTATGTATTATTGGCTTTTAAAAATTACTCTCTTATTTAAAATCTGTGTTATAGATATCCATATAATATAATGAAATAAATCAATCATGCCATGTTCTTGAGAAATATACTTGTGTTGGAGCCCACATCCTTACCTGTAGAAAGCAATGTGGTTGCAGTTCTTAAAGTTGCTTTTGTCCACAGCCTCATCTTGGACACTAAAGAAACAGAATGTTTAAGAAGTCTGTTTTCTAAACACCTCAGAGGGTTCAGCACTCTAAGGACAGCTGTCTGCAACTGAGCTGCCAGACTCTACTCTTGTGCCTCCTGTGTTGCCTCTGCACTTCCTGCAATGAAGGTGGGTTGGGATTAGCTGGGCCCACAAGGGAGAGTATAAGGGTTCCTCTTTCTCAAGACTAGTGGGAGGCCTGTCTCCCTCACTACACAGCTGCATATAACAAAATTAGTTTGTACCTTTTTCCTTATAAAACAACCAAGAAATTAAATAAAAAATAACAATGTTAAAATAATGTTATTTTGGTTGTAAAGTGAAGCATGCAAAAGTTTGGATTAGAGATGTGATCGTGTACCTGTGTACACAGTTAACGAATGAGCCTGGCTCATTGGTTAATGTGTACGGTTACACGCAGCCCCTCCCCCTGCTACCTCTGATAACAGCAGCTGGGGGGCAAAGGGCAGGAGGTGGGAGCAGCTGTGCGTGGGAAGCTGGATAAAAGTTCCCTGTGAGCACCGGCTCCCACTTGCCTCCTCCCCGCATGTAAACATATACTTAAATAAATGAATTTTAACATCTCTAGTTTGGATAATAACCCAACTTTTAAAATGAATCACCTAGCAATGCACATGCCTAAACTGGGTAATTGCACAATCTTGTCTTGTCACCCTCGACCTTCTTCACTCCATCCATCTCCCATTCTTTGAGACCCCATTTTCACACATTATATATAAAATTGGATTGTAAGCTGTATCATTCCATGAAACTGGACCAGACACATTATATATAAAATTGGATTGTAAACTACCAGGGGAAGGGCTGTATCATTCCATGAAACTGGACCAATTTGGTTACCAAACATACATGTTCAATATATTTAGACATCAACATGGAAAAAGGTAGGCGTTTACAAATCTGAGTGTCAAGATCTTTCTCTTTTTTGCTAATATCAATGTTTGCCTATCATTTTCAGTGCCTTTTACTGCAAATATGACTCATAACTTTTGTCACTGTATGTTAAAGAAACAAAGTTCAAATGATGACAACTGTTAAGTTTGTAAAGTAAAATTAAAAATGAAGAAACTGTGCTAAACGTGCCTTTCTCTCCCCTCTCTCCCAGCCAAGCAATATCCTGTCAGCTCAGATCTGTAGGTAGCCATTGCACAATTATTATTATTTTACCTGATTCCTTCTTCCTTAGCTGGTTCCATTAAACTCAAAAGAGTTTTTTGAAGTACAGTTCTCTGACCTGATCTGTGTCTGTCCGTAAATGTCTCTTCACTTTCACTACTGATTGTGCAGTACCAATCACAGAAGGAAGTCTTCAGCCGATGACAGCCTGTGACTCCACTTTCTCTGAAAGGATGCTGGGAAATGGAGTTCTTCTTTAGTCTGCAGTTGTCCGAATGACAATTTATTTATAAAGGTTAACAGCAAATGACAACGTGATTTGACATGTTAATTGCCCAGAGAATTACTGCCAGAGCAGGGATGGAGAAGATATTTTGAAAACAAGCAGCTGGCAAACATCTACAAGCCTGCATTTTTTATTTAAGCATTGGCAGCAGCATCAGAATAACAGCTGACTACTCTACAAACCCACTATGTATTTATAGAGCAATTACACTACAGACAAGCTTTTCCTGAATGCCCTAGAGGTCCCTCCCTTACAGTTAGATGGGAATTCAGTTCACATGATCAGCCGGCTGTTAATATCTCTATGATTTCCAATGAATTCCATATTTGGTCGTTCTTATGAGGTGGTCACTTGTCCACCAGACAATGGATTATGTCCCCACCAACTCATTTCATGTACACCCTCTTTCAGAATGTATTGCTGACCTGGGTTGTACACAGTTCTCTGTATCAGGTTTATACTTTAAAAAAACAAAACTGTGGTGATTGGCAAATTTCTCCCACCAGACAACGGCTACAACTAGTGGGTTGTGCCCTCAAAAGCTCATGATACCATCTACATGTTTTGTTAGTCTTTAAGGTGCTACTAGATTATTTGTTGTTTTTTACGTTTTTCCTGTTACAGACTAACTAGGCTACCCTTCTGTACCTTTTGATAGTTTGACTGACTTCTGTGACAGTTTCTGATGTAGTCAAAAGCCTCATCATGCAATCTAAAGTTAGACTTCACCTCTTTACTTGAAAGACAAGCAAAACTGCAATCCTTACTTTTCTGGGGACCATTTTCTGTAAATAGAGCTGAAAATAGTGATTTCATATTTTAACTTCTTGTTTAAAAGATTTGTGGGTTTTTTTTGGTAAAATAGGGAACCACTTTTTAATAAAATGTAATAAAAGTAAATACATATATATGCCTCAAAATGGTATGTCAATGCCCTGCTCCAATGCAATCTGAAAAAAGGCTTCAAACACCTGAAAGCATGATGAGAAAAATCTGCTTATCTCAGAGCATTGCACTCACCTACTCAGGGCAGAAAGTGTGGGGAGAACTCTGGGCTGGCTGGGGCAGCGAGGAGTGTGCTGTCTGGCCACTGGATCCTTGGGGTTGGAGCCCCGGTGCACTATGGCCTCACTCCCCAGGGACTATGGCTGCTGACCTAAGCCCACTGGTGCATCCAGACTCCTGCCCACACCTGGCCACTTTCCTTCCAGTGCGCTGTCACCTTTGATGAGATTCTAACTCCTGGAGGAATTCTATGTCAAAAAAGTTAAAATTCTGTATGTTTCTTTGTCACCATAATGCTACAGAATGACGCCTGTTTCAATTATTTTGGTAATTGATTTCACAGTCCCTGCCAGCAACTGTAACACTAGAGATGCACAAGGTGACGCAATAACGATCCCGGAGGGACGGGATCAATGCAAACCGATGACGTTTTGGTGCAAAGCTGGGCCGGCCTCATGTCCCAATACCGCGAGGGGAGGCTATATGGGGCCGGGAGCAGGACGAGGGGAGGTGG